ACAAAAATATTACTGATAATAATACACTTCTGTTATTTTTATAAAGAGGTAAATTTGCCATTTATTGATTCAAAATATAATCTCTGAAAGAGAAATTATAGGGACCGGAGTGATAGCACAGTGGGTAGGGTGTATGCCTTGCACATGGCCCACCCGGGTTCAATTCCCAGCATCCTATATGGTCCCCTGAGCACTTCCAGGAGTAATTTCTGAGTGCACAGGCAGGAATGACCCCTGTGCATCGCCGAGTGTGACCGAAAAAGAAAAAAATAAAGAAAGAAAAAATTATATGGGGGCTGGAGAGATAGTACAGGGAAAGGGTCTTGCCTTGCATGCAGCTGAACCAGGCTGAATGGCGGGGGTCCCATACAGTTCCCTGAGCACTACCAGAAGTGATCCCAGAGTACAGAGTCAAGAGTAAGAGTCAAGAGTCAAGTCTGAGCATTACTGTGTGTGGCCAAAAGGGGAAGAAAAAAAGAAGAAGAAGAAGAAATTACATGGAGCATGGTGATAGTTGGGTTGTGGAGGTCGGCTGCCAGGGCTGGGTCCCTTGGTGGCGTCCAGCACTGCCATATCAGAACTGTATCAGGGAAGTCACCAAAGTCATCATGCAGAGACAGTTTGCCAGCAATCACCAGGAGTGGTTGCTGGGCCTTAATAGCATCAGTGGGGAACCCCTGCCCTGAAGAGGGGGAAAAAAGGAACTGTGGAAATCTAGATAACTTAAATAACACATCTTATTTCTTTTTTAAGCGTGACTAGAAAAAGAGTTAACACTGGGATCCCAGAATGAACTCAATATTGACTTGATTTTTTTGTTTGTTTGTTTTGGAGCCACACCTGGTGATGTTCAGGAGTTAGTCCTGCAGTGCCTGGGGTACCTTATTAGGATGCTGGGGATCAAACCTGGATCAGTCACGTGCAAGGCAAACTCCCTAACCACCGTTATCACTTGAGCCCCCTAAGCTGCATTATTCATTTGATCTTGTTTGGGGTTTGGGCCACTCCCGGCAGTGCCCAGAGCTTACTTACTCGTAGCTCTGCAGTCACGAATCTCTCCTGGGGCATGGGGAACTATATGGAGCCTGGGAAACCCGGTGCTATACTCTCTCCAGCCCTACTTGCTTTCAACTTAAAAGAGATAAACAGGGGTCGAGAGACAGGACAGCAAGTGGTACCCTTGCCTTACACGTGGCGTATCTAGGTTCAATACCAGTCACATATGGCTCCCCAAAATCCCTCACTAGTGATCCCTCGTCACAGAGACGAGAGAAAGCCCTGAGCACCATCAGGTTCGAATCCCCAAACAAACAAAAATTAAAAAATAGAGATAGTATTTCAGTATTGCAGGGAAATAATGATAGTACAGCAGTAAGTTGCTTCCTTTGCATGCACCCAACCCAGATTTAATCTCCAGCATCCCACAGAGTCCCCAAGTACCACCAGGAGTAAATTCTTGACTGCAGAGCCAGGAGTAACCCGAGCATCACTCTGTGTGTGTGTGTGTGTGTGTGTGTGTGTGTGTGTGTGTGTGGAAAGAGAAAGAGAGAGAGAGAAAGGGGGGGAGAAAGAGAGAATCTCAGAATCACAGCTATAAAACAGGTTCGGTCACATCCGGCAATACTCAGCTGCACTCAGGGATTACTCAGGACAGTGCTTGAGAGACCATATGGGATGCTGGGGATCAAACCCAAGTCAGTCACATGCAAGGCAAATGCCCTACCCGCTGTACAACTACTCTGGCCCCCGGTAATTTTTGTTTTTTTGGGTCACACCCAGCCACGCTCAGGGGTTACTCCTGGCTTTGCACCTAGGAATTATTCCTGATGGTGCTTGGGGGACCATATGGGATGCTGGGGGTCAAACCAAGGTCGGCCACATATAAGGCAAATGCCCTCCCCACTGTGCTATCCCTCCAGTCTAACCCCCAGTAATTTTCTTTTTTAAAAAAGAAAACAATAGTGACGGTGTCACTCATTTGATGTCTTCCAGGGTGACAACAGACAGATGGAGCTGCGCTGCAAAGTTGTAACAGTTAATGATCACACGTCACCCAGAAAATATAATTAAATTCTTTTTAAAAAATTTAAAAGTTAAACTTAAAAAAGTGCCCAGGGCAGCGGGGGACATGGCCTCTGGGGTGGTGTTCCCAGAAAACTGACCCAGGGAACTGCAAAACTCCCCTCTTGGCCAAGGTGCCCGTTGAGCATCCAGGCCAGAGGAGATCCCTGGCAAGTTTGGGAACTGCATCAGAGGTGAGACTTCAATCCTGCGCAGGCACCGACGTAGCTGACTCCCCAACAGACACAGTGGTGGCAGCAGTTATTTTTCCCTTTCTTGGCACTTTGGACTCACATCTCAATCGCCATTACCTAATTCTGAGGAGGACAGCCTGGCTATCCCAAACACATTAGGCCAATAATCCACTATTCTATTCCAATCTCACCAAAATATAACAGTGAGGGACTGGAGCGACAGTACAGAGGGTAGGGTGTTTGCCTTGCATGCAGCCGACCCGGGTTCGATTTCCAGCATCACATATGGTCGCCCGAGCACTGCCAAGAATAATTCCTGAGTGCATGAGCCAGGAGTAATGCCTGTGCATTTCAACGCCGGGTGTGACCCAAAAAGAAAAAAAAATTAGATAGATAGATAAAACGGTGAACACAAGAAACTGAACAAGCCTAATATAAAAGAACACATCCTCTGAAGTTGCACTAGAGGCCTCACACAAGTCACAAAGGAGCACCAAAGAGGAAGTTAGTATTCTAGAAGGGGGAAAAGGTGACCACTATCAACCGAGCTCATCCAAAATCCTTTCTCACATTGAGTTGGGGACACCAATAGTGAACTGGAGGATCCCACTTCCATGCAACCACAGCAACAAGAAAAAACAGCACAAATCCCCACCGTGAGGAGTGGATGAAATAAAGGGCCCAGAAGTCTCCACAGGGAATACCCACAAATACAATCTCTCAGATGAAGAATTCAAAGATGGGGGCTGGAGCGATAGCACAGTGGGTAGGGCATTTGCCTTGCACACGGCCAACCCAGGTTTGATTTCCAGCCTCCCATATGGTCCCCCAAGCACCACCAGGAGTAATTCCTGAGTGCAGAGTCAGGAGTGATCTCTGAGCATTGCCGGGTGTGACCCAAAAAGCAAAACCAAAAAAAAATTATCAAAGTTAAATCAAAGGATTTTTGAGTTTATACAAACTCTGACAGATTAAATGTCTTCTTTCATTGATATCTAAAACTTTAGTAAGAACCTTAGTATGTGTATTGCAAAACATTCATTTCATTTCATTTCATCATCCTGTTATTCGTCGATTGCCTCGAGCAGGCCCCAGTAACGTCTCTTTCATCCTAGCCCTGAGATTATATTCAAGGCTCTTTAGGAGAATGAGACCCATCATTGTTACTGGTATTTGGCATATTTGGTGTGCCACGGGGAGTTTGCCAGACTCTGCCCTGTGGGCAGGCTACATTCGATAGCCTGCAAGTTTGTCCAAAGTAGGAATGAGACAATAAGATGTCATAAAAAAAAGTTCTGATAAGATGTCACAAGGCCGCGAATGCAGCCACGCGGTTCCAGGATCTGGATTTTATAATTGGCAAATCATAATGCCCAAAATTAGAGAGTAAGAAGGATTGTACCTGCCACAGAGGCAGGGAGTGGGGTGTGGTGTGGGTGGCGGGTGGGACAATGGGAACAATGGTGGAGAAAAATGGAAAATGTGCACTGGTGGAGGGATGGGTGTCCGAGCATTGTTTGACTGAAACATAATCATGTAGTTTGTAACTGTATCTCACGGTGATCCAATAAAACTTCTTAAAAAAATAAATAAAATAAAATTTTAGTAAGAACTGAAAGCTTCAGTGTCTAAATATATGTTTGTTTTGCTTCTACATAAAAACAGTGTATCTGACCCCAAAATAACTCATGGTTTTAGAAAATTGTGATAAATCAACACTGACACTAAATGTAATAAGTTAGTTTAAAACATAATGAGAAAGTGAGAAATAGTGCAGGGCTTTATCCTCCTGTCAGAGGTCTGCTGAAAAAGGCTTTGAGGGGTACTATAGAGACTATCAAAAAACATCTACTTCCAAGCACTTGTCCTTGGCAACCACCCTTGCAACAGACTGGGAGGCAGGGCAGCTTGAGGAAACTAGACAGACCAACCTCAGCTTTTGCATGATGCTTCATGGACCTGAGGTTGCTCATATTCTGAGGCTGTGGACTTCTCTCTGCTGATTATGCATGGACACCTCCCGTATCTGGAGCTGTTTGCTCAACATCTTCTACAAAAATCGTTTCCTGGGGCTGGAGAAATAGTACAGCGGGTGCTTGCCTGGCACGTTTGATCCCCGGCACTACCTAAGGTCTCTGGAGAACCGCTAGGAGTGATTCCCAAGTGCAGAGGCAGGAGCAAGCCCTGAGCATCGGCCAGATGTGGCCCCCAAAACAAAATAAATAAATAAACAAATGAAAAGTTTCCATTCACACCGCCACCCACCCCCATAATGAAAGCTTTAACCTGCCCTTGACTTGCAAATATAGACGCTGACCAAAATTGGCCACCCACTCGATGGGTGAGGAGAATCGACTGTCTCAGAAGCAGTTTGACAGATCACATGCCTGTCCCGAGTAGAAACTGGGTGCAAGAAGCAAGAAGCGGGCAGGGCGCTAGCCTTCCACGTCCGATCTCCGGCGCTACCTAGAGGGTTCACGGGGACCCGCCAGGGGTAACTAATCCCTGAGTGCAGAGCCAGGAGTAAACTGTGGCCACCGAGCCCACCAGGTCCCGGTGCGCTGCGCCGCGGGGCCTCCTGGGAGTTGTAGTCCGCAGGGGGAGGCGGACTCGCCTACTCTGCAGGCCTCGAGGGGCCTCCTGGGAGTTGTAGTCCGCGGGGGAGGCCGGACTCGCCGTCCCGGCAGGCCCCGCGGCTCGGGGGGCGACGTGGCAGCGCCGAGCGCGGCTGCGCAGTCGGCGGGGGAAGATGGCGGCGGCGCGGAGCGTGCGGCCGGCCGGGCCGTGGCCGTGGCGGGGGCGCGGGCTGGGGGCGGCCGCGCTGACTCGCGCGCTGGCGCTGCTGTGCTGCCTGGCGGCCCGCGGGAGCGCGCTGTACTTCCACATCGGGGAGACGGAGAAGAAGTGCTTCATCGAGGAGATCCCGGACGAGACCATGGTCATAGGTGGGCGGGGGCGGGGGGCGCGGGCCCGGGCGGGGGGGCGCGGGCCGGGGCGGGGGGGCGCGGGGGCCCGCCCTGACGCCCGCCCCGCGGCCCGCAGGGAACTACCGCACGCAGCTGTACGACAAGCAGCGCGAGGAGTACCAGCCCGCCACCCCCGGGCTCGGCATGTTCGTGGAGGTGAAGGACCCCGAGGACAAGGTGAGCCCCGCGCCCGGTGCCCGCCCGCCCGCCCGCGTCGGCCCAGGCCGCGCCGGTTCCGCTCCTCCTGCCCCGCCCGGTTCTGTCCGCTGCGGGGCCGCGGGGCCCGGGCGCGTCTCGACTCTTCCTGTCTTGTTCGATCTCTGTATTGAGTCGCCCTGAGTGACGAAGTCACAAACGCGCTCAGTGACCGAGCTTCAGGCGTGTGTTGTCCGACGATCGGACCCTTCCCCGGTGCCCACCATCCCCTCCCCTCCAGTGTCCTCAGTTTCCCCGCCGCTGTGCTGGGCACGTGCCCTCTCCCCGCGTGGACCTAGCGTGCCTCCCCTCGTCGCCGCCCCCGTACCAGGCTTGCCCCGAAGGCCTGCTCTGCTCTTCGTTTCTGTTGCCACGGTATTATTAGTTTGGTATTCCCGAAGGAGGTTTTTGGGGTTTTTGTTGTTTTTTTTTTTCTTTTTGCCACACCTGGCAATGCACGGGGTTACTCCTGGCTCTGCACTCAGGAATATACTCCTGGCGGTGCTCAGGGGAGCATATGGGATGCTGGGAATCGAACCCGGGTTGGCCGCATGCCAGGCAAACGCCCTACCCGCAGTGCTAACGTTCCAGCCCCCCCAAAGGAGGTTTTTTATCCCTGGCGAATGAGCGAGACCATTCTAAGTCTGCCCCCTCTCTGATTCCACGCCCCATGACCCTTTGCAGATTTTTTGCAGCAGATTGCACGACTTGATCATTTCTCCTGGCCAAGTACTATTCCACTGCGTGTATGTACCAGAGTTTCTTTGCCTACTCATGTTTCAGTGGAATGTCTGTTTTCAGAGTCACTTCAACCTATAGCACCGTTCACTGCTGAGTAGTGGGGTGCACTTCCGTAGTGAAGCACGCGCCTCAGCCCCTTGAGCTCCCTCCCCAGTTCCCCAATATCTGGCCTTAGCAGTGAGCTGAGGAGCCTTTTTTTTTTTTTTTTTTTTTTGCCTTTTTGCCTTTTTACAATTTAGGATTTCAGGGTACAATCCCAAACTCTTAAGCAGCTTTTCGCTTCAAATTGCAAATCACACCCGAGAGTACAATGAGCAAGAGTACAGTGGGCAGCCTCTTCCACGTGGTTGAGTTCGATTCCCGGCACCCCATATGTATGCCAAACACCAACGGGAATGATCCTTGAGTGCAGAGCCAGGAGTTAGTGCTGAGCGTCATCTGATGTGACCCAAACATGAACAAAAAACTTGTTTGATCATGCAGTTGGTCAGGAGGGAGCCCAGACAATGGAGACTCTTGGGGGTGGGGCCCCCAGGTTGGATTCTGGACACTGCTTGATCCTACTGAATGTCACCCGGAGTGACTCCCCAGCACTGGAGCCACTGGAGCACTGGTCACTACGGGGCGGGGCGGGGGGGGGCAAAAATTCAAAATCTGGGGCCAAGCAATGGCACAGCAGGTAGGGCGTTTGCCTTGCATGTCCAGACCCAGGTTCGAGCCCCCAGCATCCTACATGGTCCCCCAAGCAACACCAGGAGTAACTCCTGAGTACAGAGCCAGGAATAACCCCCGAGCACTGCTGGGTGTGACTCAAAAATACAAAAAACAAAAACCCTCAAAATTTGTGGACCAAACCGGTGAAAATGTCTTGCTGGGTCCTCCCCTGGATGTGCAGGGGAGAAGAATCAGTGCGAAGAAGGGGAAGAAGGGGCTTCCTGTTGGGTAGCACCAGGCTGTCCTCGCTCCTCCCGCAGCAGCTTGGGGTTACTGAGCTGCTCCCAGAACAGTGCCCCTGAGGCACACCCAATTCCATCAGGCACTGTGATCCTATATTGCTTTTCTCTTTCCTTTCTGTCATTTGCATGGTTTACTTAACATTGTCCTTTTTGGAGATTTGGGGGGTGGGGGGCAGGTTGCTTTTTGAGTCACACCTGGCGATGCTCAGAGGTTACTCCTGACTCTGCACTCAGGAATTACTCCTGGTGGTGTTCAGGGGACCATATGGGATGCTGGGACTCGAACCTGGGTCGGCCACGTGGAAGGCAAACGCCCTACCCGCTGTGCTATCGCTCCAGCCCCTGTCCCTTTTGTATAGACACAGCAGGTAAAGAGCTTGCCTTACGTGCAGCCGACATGGGTTCAATCCCCGGCATCCCATATGCATATGGTCCCCTGAGCCCGCTGGGAGTGATCCCTGAGTGCAGAGCCAGGATTAAGCCCTGAGCATTACCAGGGTGTCCCCCAAAGCAGAATAAACAAGAAAGACCAGAGTTGGGGTTTGGGAAGCTGGCTCATTTCCTGTTTTTTTTTTGGGGGGGAGGGTGCCTGGGAGCAGCTGAGAGGAGGAGTTTAGAGAACGGCCCCCGGTCAGTCAGGGAAATAGCAAGACACCGGGCATGGATTGGAGACAGTGAGGAAGTGGGGATTGGGGGGGATGGGGTGGGAAGCAAGACACACTGTTACGTGACTTGCAGAGTTGTTGGGGCAGGGTGTGGTTTGGTTTGGGGGCCATACTGGTGGTGCTCAGGGGTGGTTCTCAGTGGTGCTCAGGAATGCACGTGCCAAGGATAGAATCCAGGCCTAGGGCCGGAGCAGTAGCACAGCAGGAAGGGCTTTTGCCTTGCACCCAGCCCACCCAGGTTCAATCCCTGGCATTTTATATAGTCCCCTGAGCACTGCCAGGAGCGATGCCTGAGTGCAGAGTCAGGAGTAGCCCCTGACCATGCTGGGTTATGGCCCAAGGAAGGGAGGGAGGAGCAGCAGCGGCCCCCACACCTGCTAGGCGTCTTCCCTGGGCCCAGCGCGGGCTCTGTCCCGCCCACTCCGCTCACTCATCTCCCCACAGGTCATCCTGGCCCGCCAGTACGGCTCCGAAGGCCGCTTCACCTTCACGTCGCACACCCCCGGGGAGCACCAGATCTGCCTGCACTCCAACTCCACCAAGTTCTCCCTGTTCGCGGGGGGCATGCTGGTAAGTGTGCCCTGTAGTGAGCGCTGGGGGCCGGGCAGCTTCCCGCCCGCTAAAGGTCTGGCGTGGGCAGTGCATGTCCCGGGCATATCCAAGGCACGGGGCCAAGTCTTCAGCCGTGTCCACTTAGTGCTTGCACCATGGCCAGACTTTCCTGGCTTGGAGTTGGAGGCACCTGGCAGTGCTCCAGGGCTCCTCCCAGCACTGTGCCCAGGGGACACTTGTGGTGTACTAGGAGGCTCTGTGGAGCCAGAGATGAAACCCAGGCCCCTCATTCAGTCTGTCCTCAGCCCGCCTGGCACCTTGGTTCAGCGCTCGGGCCTCAGGCCGGGTGCCTCGGAGCCAGGGCTGAGGAGCGGGGGTCGCTAGGGATTGAACTCAGGCCTCCAGCTCCGGGGCCTGCACTCCAGCCCTTCTAGCTCATTCTGCTGTCCTCGAGTCTTTGAGGAAGGCGGAAGAGAGTGCCATGTTTCCGGTTTGTTTGCTTGGAGGTGCGGGGTGGGGTCCCCATCGCGCCAGGGGTGGGTGCTCAGGCTTCGTTCCGGGTGTCTGCTCGCAACGACCCCTGATGGTGCTCTGAGATTCAAGCCAGGCTCAGTGCCTCAGCCACATCCCAGGAAAGTGCCGTAACCCCTCCAGCATCTCTGACCTCAGTTTGGCTGATTATTTGTTTTTATTTTGTTTTGGGTCCACACCCTACAGTGCTCAGGGATCATTCCCTCCTGGCAGGGGATCGTGGAATTCAGGGATTGAGCCCAGGCGGACAGTGTGCAGGCAGGAGCTTTGCAGCTGCCCTACTGCTCCAGCCCCAGCCCTGTGGTTGATTTTGTTTTCACCCTCCCTGATGCTCAGAGGCCACTCAGTGCTTAGGGTTTTCCTCCCAGCCCTGCTTGGTGGGGGGGCGGGGGGGAGGTTGGGCCTGTGGGGGGGACAAATTCAGCAGCTGCTGAGCTCAGACTCGGGCCATCCACGAGCCAGCTGTGTCTCCTCCTCTCTGCAGCGCGTCCACCTGGACATCCAGGTGGGTGAGCATGCCAACGACTATGCAGAAATCGCGGCCAAGGACAAGCTGAGCGAGCTGCAACTGCGTGTGCGGCAGCTGGTGGAGCAGGTGGAGCAGATCCAGAAGGAGCAGAACTACCAGCGGGTGAGGCGGGGGGCGCAGACGGCGACTTCCTCCCCAGAGTCGGCACTTGTGTGTCCAGTCCAGGCTGGTGCCCAGGAACCTAGCTGTCAGGGCTGTGTGCCCCCCAGTCAGATGATAGGGGCTGGTGAGGGGCTGGAGCGATAGCACAGCGGGGAGGGCGTTTGCCTTGCATGCGGCCAACCCAGATTCGATTCCCAGCATCCCATGTGGTCCCCGATCACTACCAGGAGTGATTCCTGAGTGCAGAGCCAGGAGTGACCCCTGTGCGTCACCGGTTGTGACCTAGAAAGAAAAAATTTTATATATTTTATTTCAGTGGACCTGGGGGTCCCCTGTGGTAATGGGGACCGCGCTGTGCTGGGGATGAAACCAGAGCCTCTCACGTGCAAGGCACCTGTGCAGCCCATGGAGCTTACCTCCAGCTCTAAGTGTTGGGGGTTTGTTGTTTGGTTAGTTTTTGGGCCGCACCTGGTGGTGCTCAGGGACCACGTATATGCTGGGGATTGAAATCGGGTCGGCCATGTGAAGGCAGATGCCCTCCCTGCTGTACTCTCTCCAGCCCCCAAATGTCGGTGTTTTAACAATGAAACATACTACATCTGCCCCTGCCCTCTGCCTGATGAGCCCCCAGTGTGCAGCTTGTTCCCGTATTCTCAGCGATAGTTTGGGGGCCCTTGGCAGGGGCTCCGAGGCACACCCACTCCTGGGCGCTCCGGGATCACCCTTTCGGGTGTAGTGAACCCTAAATTCTTTAGAAATGGGGAGTTGGGGCCACACCAAGCAATGCCCAGGGGCTGTCCCTGATTTTTTTTAATTTTGGGGAGAGGGCAGGGATTTTGGGGTCACACCTGGTGATGCTTAGGGGTTATTCCTGACTCTGCATTGAAAAATTACTCTTGGTGGTGCTCAAGGGATCTTATGGGATACTGAGGATTAAATCTAGGATGGCCGCATGCAAGGCAAACGCCCTCCCCACTGTACTGTCACTCTAGCCCCATGTCCCTGATTCTGTTCTCATGGATAGTGCTCAGGGAACCATCTATGGTGCCAGGAATTAGGCTGAGTCACCCCATGCTAAGTAAATGCCTCTTCCACTTTGTGCCCTGGCCTACAGTAAGATCCCAGAGGACATACAGGAAGCAGGCAGATAAGCAAACAGGAAGGATGGGCACAGGCCGGGGAGGTGCTCCCAGGGCTAGAGTGAAAGCTTGTCTTGCACAGGGACTGGGTTCCATCCTGACTGCAGGGTGCCCCAGGGACCACTCAAAAGCAAGGTTGGGTGCTGGGGTGGTAACCCAGCAGATAGGACATTTGCCTTACATGTGGCCTGTTTGAATTTGGTCCAGTGAGCCCCACTCAGGGAATCCCTGAGCACAAAGCCAGAAGTAATCTCTGTTGATCGCCAGGTGTGGCCCAAAAACAATAAACCCAAAAAAGTGGGAGGAGGCGCTGAGAGAGATAGTACAGCAAGGTGGGCGTTCACCGTGCTTGTGGCCGGCCTGGGTTCAATCACATATAGCCCACCGAGCACCACCAGGAATGATTCCTGAGTGCATAGTCAGGAATAACTCCGGAGCAGTGCCGGGTGTGGCTCAAAGGAACAACGAAGACTGGGGGGGACTGCAGCAGTATTACAATAGGTAGAGCACTTGCCCTTGTGCATGGCCAACCTGGGCTCAGTCCCCAGCACCCAGCATTGTCCTTTAAGCCACCACGAGTGATCCCTGAACGCAGAGCCAGGAGTAAGCCCAGAGCACTGCTAGCTCTGACCCAGAGAAACGAGGCTGGTGGACCAAAGCCATCTCCCTGGGGAGAGCCAGGCCAGTGTAGGCGGGGGGCTCCGACTGGCCCCTGGCCTCCGGAGAGGCATGTCGTGGGCACCCCTCCAAGCTCACCCCTCCTCCCCCTTCCCCTTCCCACAGTGGCGAGAGGAGCGCTTCCGGCAGACCAGCGAGAGCACCAACCAGCGGGTGCTGTGGTGGTCCATCCTGCAGACCCTCATCCTCGTGGCCATCGGCGTGTGGCAGATGCGACACCTCAAGAGCTTCTTTGAAGCCAAGAAGCTGGTGTAGGCGCCGCCAGCCTACACCACTGCCATGGCCACTGCCCCTTCAGCCACGCCAAGGAGGAAGGACCTCCAGGAACTGTTCGCTGTACGGCCAGAGGACTGGCTCCTGGCCACGGGGCTCTGGGGGCCCACTGGGCCAGTGCCCTCAGGCCCTCGCCACCTGGGCAGCAGCCGAACTGGCATCTCCTGAACAGGTGGCAGGTCGCTAGCTGCCCCTCCCTGGGCCATGCTCTTTGCAGTAATCAACCGGGGCGGCTATGGCTGTGGGGGCGCCCTCAGCACCCCCAGATCCACAGTGTTACTGATCAGGGATATGTGGTGGTGGGGTGCTGGGGCAGGGGGGCAGTCAGACATCCTTTGGTCTTCCTTTGTTAAGTCTCTTCCTTTGGGAACAGGCCGAGGTGCAGCTGCAGCCCCGCACCCTGGCACCTCCCCTGTTCCCTTCATGGGCTTCGCACCCGGCCACCTGGTTGAGATGCGGTGGTGGTTTAGCCTTTTTCCTGTCTTGTCCCTTCTGGGGCTTGAGGAACCGGGGTCCGGCCAAGAAGAGACCTTGGTGCTGTGGGGGATGGGATCTGCAGAATCTTCGTTACTGATTTCATTTTCAATAAGTCTCCATTTGTTACATCAGTTTCCCAATAAAAGAAATGAACTTCTGGTCCAAGGGTGTTGTTGGCTATGGTTGGCTATGGGTGAGTGTGGTCGGTGTGGGGGAGTTCCCGTGCCCTTTCCTACAGCGTTGGGCTCAGGACCGGTCAGTGTTGGGGTGGGAGGCACGCATGTACAGCCCCCCTTTCCTCTGCCCCCTTCCTGTTTCCCCAGGGGAGGGGTTAAAGTGGCTGTATTTTGGCTGGAAATTTTTTTTTTCCTTTTGAGTCACACCCAGCGATGTATAGGGGTTACTCCTGGCTTTGCACTCAGGAATTACTCCTGGCGGTGCTTGGGGGACCATATGGGATGCTGGGAATTGAACCCGGGTCGGCCGCATGCAAGGCAAACACTATCACTCCAGCCCCTGGAGATCCACTTTTCAGAAGAGTGCAGGATTGTTGAGGTCTCTCCCCAGCCCTTTTGAGCAGGTCCCCTTGACCTGCAAGGGGCTGTCGCGTAGAGGCCTGAGGGCCAAGCCAAGCTACCTTCCCTGTAAAGAGAGGAGGAGTCCGGGAAAAAGAGCAAGTCCCTATGCTGCTGCCTCCACAACCGAGAATAGAGCGCACGAGCACAGCAGGAGTCCTGTCAGCAGTCCCAACTTTTATTAGGCAACCGGCGTGGCTTATGTAGGCTGAGCATACAGGGGAGAAACGCGAACAGTCCCACACTCAGTGGTCAGAGCAAACGTGTTTCACCACAGATCTGTAGTTAGGTTACATCTTTCCTGTGTGATCACAGTGGTTAAACTGTCACCACACATCTGCCAGATACATCCTGTCCCATGGTAGTATGACCCACGATTGATTGTAAATATGCTTTGCAACAGGCTTCCTGAGTGATCTTGGAACACCCGCCCGGCCCAGCCCGGGGATTAGTGTGGCGCTTCAAAGCAGACCAAAGGGGCTTTTCTCCCAACACCGGATCTCCCTCGGGAAGATAAGAGCCTTAGGACTGGGGTGAAAAGTGCTGAGGGGAGAGAAGTGTTTCCTGTAAACAGCTAAAGACCTCCCTAAAGGGAAATTTCAGGGCACTCCACCTGTGTAAAATGAGGCTGGAGACAAGTTTAGAGGCTACAAGACCCTCTGGGAGGGCAAGATCTATTCTTCCCACTAGAGCTTCCCACATTCAAAGCCCAAAGCAATAGAATCAGAAAAGTGCTGATTTTCCCATTGTCTACCCCTGGCGCTGGGGCTGCACCTGTTAAAAAGAGCAGATCAGGGGCTGGAGCGATAGCACAGCGGATAGTGCATTTGCCTTGCACACGGCTGACCTGGGTTTGATTCCCAGCATTCCATATGGTCCCCCAAGCACCGCCAGGAGTAATTCCTGAGTGCATGAGCCAGGAATAACCCCTGTGCATCGCCAGGTGTGACGCAAATATATATATATAAATAAAAAATTTAGATAAAAATAAAAAGAGCAAATAGGGTGTTTGCCTTGCACACAGCCAACCCAGGTTCGATCCCTGGCATCCTGTATGGTCCCCTGAGCACTGCCAAGAGTGTGCAGAGCCAGGAGTAATCCCTGAGCATCATTGGGTTTGACCAAAAAGAGAAAAAATAAAGCAAGGCAAGAGTGATAGTACAGTGGGTAATGCCTTGCATGGAGCCCACCCAGGTTCGATCCCTAGCATCCCACATGGCCCCCAGAGCATCACCAGGCACCACTGGGGGTAGCCTCAACAGAGGGAACAGACCAGGAGAGTTGAGCAGACTGGAGCGCATACTTCACATGCATGACGCCGGAATTCCATCCCCAATACCCACCCTGAGCATGGTGCGAGGAGTAAGCCTGTGAATACCATGTGCGACCCTAACCAAAGCAAAGAGGCAGAGGTAACACAGAGGCTCCAAGTTTGGTCCCTGGAGCATTGCTGGGCATGGCCCTGGTGTCCTGAAGCACTGCATCAGCAGGATGAGCACCAAACCATGGCCGGGTTGACCAAGTGCCAGGACTAGTCCTGGCCCAGCTGAGCACTGCTTGCGAGGCCCCCGCGAGGAAATCAAAGTCAAGAGCCAATGTTGAAACATGGTTTTTCACCTGGGGCAATCGCAAGTAGGATATTTGCCTTGCACTGGCCGACCCAGGTTCAAACCCCATATGGTCCCCCTAGCCCGCTAGGACTGATTCCTGAATGCAGAGTCAGGAATTAAGTTCTGAGCACCGCGGGGTGTAGCCCTGAGACAAACCTCTCCCCCACAAAATGTGATTCTATCTGTTTAGTTTGTGACCACACCCAGCGGAGCTCAGAGTGACCCGTGGCGGTGCCAAGAATCCCGTGCGGGGCGGGTGGGATGCCTCACCCGGGCCACCTGGCCGGGGTAACGCTGTTGCAGTGAAACTGCGGGTTTCTGGGGCCTCCAGTCCCGGACCCTCACTGGGGCGCCGCTTTCACTTTCGTCCCCGCCTGCCGTGGCTTCACTGCGTTTGCTCATTTCCCACAGTCGCCTGTGAGTTTCCTGCTTTGGAGAATTTCCCCTCGAGCCACAGGGCAGCAAGTGGGTGGTCTGCACTGCCCGCTGTGGACCCAGTCTCCAGCCCCTGCCCAGAGGGTCCCGAGCCCCGACGGCGCCCAGAGGGTCCCGAGCCCCGACGGCGCCCAGAGGGTCCCGAGCCCTCACAGCGCCCAGAGGGTCCCGAGCCCCGACGGCGCCCAGAGGGTCCCGAGCCCCGACGGCGCCCAGAGGGTCCCGAGCCCTGACAGCACCCAGAGGGTCCCGAGCCCTGACGGCGCCCAGAGGGTCCCGAGCCCCGACGGCGCCCAGAGGGTCCCGAGCCCCGACAGCACCCAGAGGGTCCCGAGCCCTCACAGCGCCCAGAGGGTCCCCGAGCCCTGACGGCGCCCAGAGGGTCCCGAGCCCTAACAGCACCCAGAAGGTCCCGAGCCCTCACAGCGCCCAGAGGGTCCCGCGCCCGTCAGTGCCCAGGGGGTCCCCGAGCCTTACAGCGCCCAGAGGGTCCCCGAGCCCTAACAGCGCCCAGGGGATCCGGAGCTCGTCGGCGCTCAGGGGGTCCCCGAGCCCGTTAGGGTTAGGGTTAGGGTTAGGGTTAGGGTCGGCGCCCGGAGGGTCCCGCGCTCCCCGGGAGGGCACCCGCGCGGCCTAAGGCGAGGCGCGCGGCTCAGGGGCGCCCCTGGCGGCAGCGGCGGGCCGGGCCGTGGCGGACGCGGAACCCTCGGCTCGGGCCCGGTTCCGGGCGGAGCGGCGGCGCGGCGGCCCGGGGGGCGGCGCCAGGCCGGGGGCGGCGGGGGGCGAGGCCGGGCCCGGCAGGGCTGCCCCATGCGCCGCCGCCGCCCCCGACCATGTTCCCGTCGCGGAGGAGAGCGGCGCCGCTGGCCTGGGAGGACGGCAGGTGAGCGCGGGGCCGTCCCGAGGGGCGTCCGGCTGCCCCTGCGGACCCCCGCCCCTTGTCCCGCGGGCCCCGGGGTCCGCGTCTCCCCGCGCCCCCCTCGTTGGGCGCGGGCCTCGGCGTCTGCCCGGCCCCCGGCCCCGCCAGCCCGCCGGGTTCTCAGACCGCCCCTGGCCGCCGCCCCCTGCCCCTGGCGGGCCACTTCCGGCCCGTGTGTCAGGTCCGAGCCGGCCCGACCTCGCCGTGGACGTGGCCGTTTCCGCTCACCCCGCGGGGAGGGTCCTGAGCGGCCTGGACTTGGGAGGACCCCGCGAGAGGACCCCCACGGGAGGACCCCCATGGGAGGACCCCCATGAGAGGACCCCCACGGGAGGACCCCCACGGGAGGACCCCCATGGGAGGACTCCATGAGAAGACCCCCATGGGAGGACCCCCACGAGAGGACCCCAGGGGAGGATCCCCATGGGAGGACCCCCACCCTTCACCCGTAAGCGTGCCTCGAAAACCTGACCCGCCCAGAGCACCTGACAGCGGGTCCCTGTGCTGGCCCCCAGCTCCTGAGAGCAGCAGGCACCCGGCTTGGGCGCCCTGGGAGGGCCTGAGGCAGTGGGCAGAGCTGCAGCAGAGAGGGATGCTGTGGGGCCCACTCCGAAAAGCTCTCTACCCGAATGAGATCGGGGCTCTCTACCCTAATGAGAGCGTGCAATCTTCCGGGTCTCAACCTTCCCTTCCCCGAAATGGGATCATAGTATGTATTCTGCGGCGCTGTAAGGGGTGGTGTCATACTTGTAAAGCTTTATTGTTTCCTGGGCTCCCAGATAATGCTGACACGCCCAGAGCCCAGTGGGATGTGATTAACAATACTGAGACCTCCCAGATGGGGACCTGGGGTCTCGAACTCAGAGCCTCAAGCATATGAGTCCTGCTCTCCAGTCCTTTCTTTTGGCTTTTTGGGTCACTCCCGGCAATGCTCAGGGGTTACTCCTGGCTCTGCACTCAGGAATTACTCCTGGTGGTGCTCAGGGGACCATATGGGATGCTGGGAATCGAACCTGGGTTGGCGGCGTGCAAGGCAAACGCCCTCCCCACTGTGCTATCGCACCAGCCCTTTGAGGTATTCTCCCCTTCACATTTTGGGTTTTGGGGCCCACGCCGGGCAGTTTGTGGGGCTGCTCAGGGCTCTGTGCTCAGAAGGCCATGAGGTGCTAAGAATCAAGCCAGGGTTGGCGCCTTTTATTTAGTTTTGGGGTCACTCCCAACAGTGCTCAGGACTTGAAGTTCTTGGTTCTGCACTCAGGGATCACTCCTGTGTGACTCTGGGGACCACATGGGATGCCAGGGATCGAACTCAGGCTGGCTGCATGCAAGGCAAGTGCCCTCCCCACCGTACTATTTCGGGCTCCACGGAAAATATCTTAATCTGTCATTTCTGGTCCCTCCTCAGCCCCTTCAAAAGTGAAACTTACAACTGGGCTGGGAGGGGCCAGGGTGATACCACAATGCCTCATTCACAGCCAGCCTGGGCACCCCCAGGAGTAAGTCCCGAGGGCAGAGCCAGAAGGACCCTGAGCATCACCAGGTGTGACCAGAAAACAGAGACTGTGAGCAGACAGCTGGGTGTTCTGACCTGTCACAAAGGTTCTGGTGGCAGGAACAATGAAAGTAAAGGAGAATTTTTATTTCCTGGTGCTTCTGGAGGAGGGGGTGTTTTGGGGTTGTAGTGGGCAGAAGTGTAACAGCAGGCAGTGGGGCCAGCGCTAGACAGGATTCACTGGCCTTCCGAGAGCACGTATCCTCCCCAGGATCTTTGGAACACACAACCCCAGGAAACGGGCTGATGGCAGGTCCTGCTCTGGACACAGGTGCAGTGATCTCTGAAACCGAGTCAGGCTCAAGTGATCATTGAAGTCGCTGCCTCAAGAACTGGCCTCTCTGGGCTTCGTTTTGCCTTTTCAGTCCTGAACACAGTGATTGGAAGGGGGACCGAACCTCTATCGGTGACTTGCAGCCCAGCCGACCTGGGCCTGCAGGTCCTGGGTTGGCCACCGGGGGCGCCAGGCGCTCCCGTCCTCAGCGTGCCTGGCCCTGCTGGACACCTGGTCGCCTCTCTAGTGGCCCGTGTTTCTTGGGCCCCCTTAGATCTCAGCATGCAGATGTGGGAAGGGGAAGCTGACCCACAGCCACCCCCAGCGAGCCCAAGGCTCTTGAGTCACACTCGCTGCTTCTCCCCCTCCAAGCCGGCCTCTGTCCCCGCGTGGGGCCCCGCGGGCCCCGTCAGCTCCCAGCAAGGAGGCTCGAGGTCGGGACAGACACAGCAGAGCTTCTGGCCTCCCCCAGCCACTCCGGGGTTCGGTTCCCGGCCCTCCCCCACGGAAAGCCCCAACACCGGACCCTGGGGGGTAAGTCACACACGGCTCCTGGGCCTGGCTCCAGGCTGCCGGCGGGTGGTGGTGTGTCAGAGCAGCGAAGGTTCCCTCCTGCCTCTGAGTGTGACTTAACACATGCATGCCGCATGCAGCGCCTCCGTCCCTGTGACTCACCTGTTGGGGACCACACAGTATTAGTGCTCTAGTTGGGAACCGGGTCCCTTCTGGAGAGAAAGGGGAGCGAGGAGCCCTGGAAAGTTACAGAGAGAGCGTACACAGGGAGAGGGCACTTGCCCTGCATTGTGCTGACCCAGCTTTGATCCGAGTATCCCGTATGGCCCCCTGGGCTCCGCCAGGAGTGATACACCAGGAGCAGAGCCAGGAGTGAGCCCTGAGCACCGCTGAGTGTGGTCCAAAAACAGTAACAACAACAACAACAGAAAGGCTACAGAGCAGGAAGCTTAGACGGGCTCCAAAACAGAACCCATAGTGAGCAGCCCTGGGCTTGGGCCCGGGCTGGCCCCAGGCAGCTGGGCTGACCTTGGCAGTTGACGGAACTAACTGGGAGATGCAGTCGGAGATGCACACTTCAGACACGCAGGGCTGCGGGAGAGGCAGGAGGCTGGCCAAGCAGTGGATGCAGAGCAAGAATCTTTGTCTTATGAACAAGAGCAGCTCAGCTTTCCAGGGTGTAGGCATTTCCCATGCATTGCTCTGGGGCACTGGGACCACCCCCTGCCTGGTGACCTGTACCTCCACCCAGCAGCTTGGGAGACTCCGAGGTTCTGACTGTCAAACCTGGGCCAAGGGACCAGAGTGATAGTTCAGCGGGTAAGGTAAGGGTCTTGCAGGTGACAACCCGGGTTCGATTCCTGGCATCTCATGGCATCCCGTCCCCCAAGCACCAGCAGGAATGATTCCTGAGCATTGCGGGGTATGGTCCAGACACCAAAGCCAACCAACAAAACACCTGGGTGGGTGCCATGTTAGGCAGGTACCCAGAGCCCCACTGTCTCCTCACCCGCAGTGTTTCTGTGTAGAGGCTCATGCAGGGTAAGGAACAGGTGAGAATTGTTTTTTGTTTGGGGCAGTACTTGGGGCTGACCCAGGGCCCACCCTGTGCAAAGCTGAACTTTACCACTGAGTCACCAACCCATCCCTGGGTGTATTATGAGCTGAGAGCCACAGGCAGAAAGAGTTTGAGGGCTGGAGAGATAGCTCAGCGGGGAGGGCACTTGCCTTGCATGCAGCCAACCTGGGTTCAATCCCTGGCATCTTATATGGTCCCCTGAGCACCACCAGGAGTAATTCCTGAGTGCAGAGCCAGGAGTAACCAAGAGCATTGCCAGGGCGTGGCCCAAAAGCCAAAAAAAAAAAAACAAGCAAAAAACTAGAGACAGTTTGAGATTGTAAAGCAGACAAATGGCCTGGCAGATTATTTCAGAAGGTACCAGTGTGGGAAAGACCCGCCCTTGGGAGAGGGGCACACTTGATGGTGCTGGAGTCTACTCAGGAAGGCGGGATGCTGGGGCTGAATGATGGTCAGCCACGTGGAAGGCAAGCAGCTCACCCGTGGACTGTCCCCAGCCTCCTTTCTTTTAAAAAAACGGGCCACACCCAGCATTGCTCAGGAGCTACTGGGGATACACCTGACAGCAATGTGGGAGGGCATGTGGTGTCACGAGCTGGGCAGTGGACTGTCCCATAGGAGCCCCCTCAGGGCCCAGGCGCTTCCCTGGCTTCTCTTGGGTCCTTCAGCCCCACCGTCCCCATCAGCACCTTCCAGAAAGATACTGAGAGGAATCTGGCAGATGAGCTCTGCCATTTTGTTGGACTTTCTTTTATTGTCTGTTGTTTTTTTTTTCTTTTTGGGTCACACCCGGCGAAGCACAGGGGTTACTCCTGGCTCTGCACTCAGGAATTACTCCTGGCGATGCTCAAGGGACCATATGGGATGCTGGGAATCGAACCCAGGTCGCCACGGGCAAGGCAAATGCCCTCCGTGCTGTGCTATTGCTCCAGCCCCCTATTGTTTGTTTTTTGAGGGGGTTGTTTGTTTTGGGGGGCCACACCCAGCAGTGCTCAAGGGTTTTTCCTGACTCTGCACTCAGGAATTACTCCTGGCAGTTCTCGGGGGCTCTCTGAGATGTGGGGATCAGCAAACATCTCCCCTGCTCTGCTGTCCTCTGGCCTGTGTTCTACTTTCTGACTAGCCTAGACGGCTATCTCCCTATGCTGCTTCCACATCTCCCTCACCCTTCTGCTGGGTTTCTTTTTTTTTTTTTCTTTTTCTCTTTGGGCCACACCTGGCAGTGCTCAGGAGTGACTCCTGGCTCCGCACTTGGACCAAATAGGATGCCAGGGATCACCCTGAGTCAGCCATGTGCAAGGCCAACACCCTCCCCACTGTACTGTTGCTCCAGCCCCATTCTACTGGCTTTCCAACTTCTTGTCTGTCTTTTGCTCTTTCTTGTGCTTCTCTCTTTTTGTTTTGGGGTCATATCCAGTGGTTTGCAGGACTTACTCTTTGCTAAGCTCTTTGCCCAGGGATCACTTCTGGCAGGTTCAGGAGACCAGGGACCCGATGTGGTACCAGGGATTAAACTTGGTACCTGACAGTGAGGCATGCTCAGGTTTGAGGGTTCAGATTAGCTTAGTCCACAGTAAACATTGCACTTCGAGCAGGGGCCTCGTCCCAGCTCTGTGTTTGGGGGTCATTCCCAGCAGTGCCTGGGGGTCATGTACTGCTAGAGGGTGGGACCTGGGATGTCACCTGCAAAATCTGTCCTCCCACCCTTTACGCAGCTCCTGGTCAGAAGGGGTCCAGAGCCACATCTGGGGGTGAGAAGGGATTGGGGGGAGCAGGTAGCAAGGCACAGGGGAGTCTATATGCATCTGCCCTGGATGGAAACCTCTGTCCTGGGGTCCCCTGAGGGCACCTCAGAGGAAGAATTTCTAACAGGCAGATGGGCTTGGGCGCCTCCAGCCGTCCTGGGAGGTCTGGGGTCCAACCTGGGCATAGGGAGCCATCCAGTGCCTGAGGCTTGTGGAAACATCACCACATGTGGCAGTTGCTTCTGCTCTAACCAGGGGCTTAGGCGGTCACTGCAGGGGCGTGGGTGTGTCCCGGGGCCCCGACTCCGACCTCTGAGCACCCCCTCTCATTCCTCCAGGCCCAGGTTGCTCCTCAGTGGCCTCCCTCGGAAGTGCTCCATCTTCCAGCTCTTCGTGGCCTGCCTTCTCCTGGGCCTCCTCTCGCTGCTCTGGCTCCAGCTCAGCTGCTCCGGGGACGTGGCGCGGGCGTCCAGGGGACCAGAGCAGGAGACCCTGGGGCCCGCCCGGCTCTGTCCTCCAGAGCCGCCCCCTGAACACTGGGAGGAAGACCCGTCCTGGGGGCCCCACCGCCTGGCCGTGCTGGTCCCCTTCAGGGAACGCTTCGAAGAGCTCCAGGTCTTTGTGCCCCACCTGCATCGCTTCCTGAGCAGGAAGAAGGTCCCGCACCACATCTACGTGCTCAACCAGGTGGACCACTTCCGGTAGGGGCCTCCCCAGCCACTCCCCACTGTCTGGGTCTCCCTTTGCCCAGGCTTCTGGTTGGAAGGTGCTGAACCCTTTGCTGATGACTTGGAAGATCAAGGCCCTGCCCGTGTCATCTGTTTTATCTCTCTGGCAGTGCTGGGAGCTGCCGGGAGCCTGGGATTGAACCCAGGCCCCACAGGCACTGTATATTGCCGCTTAATCCACACCACCATCACCCATCTCGTGGGTTCTGTTTCATTTATTTTTGCTGTTTGATTTTTGAGCCACACCCAGTGATGCTCAGGGTTTACTCCTGGCTCTGCACTCAGGGATCACTCCCGGTAGTTCTCAGGGGACCGTATTGGGGTGGGTACTGGGGATTGAACCTCGGTCAGCCGTGTGCAAGATAAACTTGCTGTATTATCACTCCAGCCCCTATTTTTTAATATTTTGAGACTCAGTGATGGAAGGACTCCTCTTGGTCAGAGTTCCAGGGAGTCACGCCTGGAGGTCCTCCGGGAATTGGTGCTGGGGGGCAAATATGGGGCTCCAGGGGCCAGTTGGTAAGACTGTCGTGACTGATCACTGCTTAATCAAGCACGCCAAGACCACCTGTGGCAGGGAACGAGGAGGTTTCTGTTACACCGGCTAGTCAGACCTGTGGGTCGAGGTGAGGCCAGCTTTGAGACCTTAGACAAGGCTCAGGGGTCCGAGAGTCTGTTTGTATCAGATATCACTGCAAACTCATCATTTTGCGTCAGACTCAGGCAACATGGGGGCACACTCACAAGATGGCATCTTTTCAGTGTGGTTACAGGGAATTTGCTAAATCTGCACTTTCTTAGAACAGGAAGTTCATCCCAAGTGCAGACAGAGTGGACATCTTTTTAAAACTTTCTGCCTACAAGCACATCATCTTCTCTTCAAAGTACTTTCTATAGATCTATTATAAAAGCAAAGATAACGTAGGATAAATTTCCATGATAACAGTATAGCGGGTAGGCCTCTTGCCTTGCATGCATCTGATCCCTGAGCACAGAGCCCAGAGTAAGCCCTGAGCACCACCAGTGATGGCCCAAAATGAAAATTTTTAAATGCAGGTTTTCAGTATGTGAAACGTTAGTGAAACCACGATTCCCGCCATCCCCCCTGCGCCCTGTCCCCAGGGCCAAGCTCAAGGCCCCCACTGACTCCCATCTCGGGCCTGGACCCTTGGGGTCTGAGCCTGTCTGCAGCCCCCAGTGCCCCTAATCTGCCCCACTAGCTCCCCCTGGTGGCGGCAGGCTGCCAAGGCGGGGCTCCGTCCTGGCCTTGCCTCCCCTTCCCGTCCCCCCCCCCCCCCCAATCTGGAAGGAGGGTCTGATTGCTCCTGCCCCCACCCTGTCCGGGGCTGGACTCAAGCACGCCCCTCCACGCCCCCAGGTTCAACCGGGCGGCCCTCATCAACGTGGGCTTCCTGGAGAGCAGCAACAGCAGCGACTACATCGCCATGCACGACGTGGACCTGCTTCCGCTCAACGACCAGCTGGACTACGGCTTCCCCGAGGCCGGCCCCTTCCACGTGGCCGCGCCCGAGCTGCACCCCCTCTACCATTACCCCACCTACGTGGGCGGCATCCTGCTGCTGTCCAAGCGCCACTACCAGCTGGTGAGGCCCCGCGGAGGCAGCCGCGGCTCTAGGCCGGAGTCGGGGTGGCGGAGGGTGCCCCTCGACCAGCAGTGCAGCCCCCACGGCGGCAGGAGGAGCCAGTCCACGCCATGAGAGCTGCAGAAAGATGGAGGTGCCACGGCTCCCAGAATGGCAAGGCCTGACACCAAGAGTTAGATCAGGGCTTCAGGCACTTTGCCTGGCAGGAAACCAATTCTGACTTAATGCCCAGCACCACTTAAGAGTCCTCTGAGCAAAGGCAGGGTGAATCCTGAGCACTGGGCCAGGAGTAAGCCCTGAGCACCAACAAATGTGACCTAAAACACCCAAGAATTTAAAAAAAAAAATGGCCAGGCCAGAGAGATGGACACCGGGTAAGGCACTTGCTGCTGACCCAGGTTCGATCCTCAGAACCCTGTAGCGTCCTCTGAGTGATCACTGAGTGCAGAGCCAGAAGTAAGCCCTGAGCACAGCCACGCAGCAGACCTCAGTATGCTCCCCAATGCCCCACACAGCAGGCCCCTGTGCTCACCGGGAGTGATACCTGAATGCAGAGCCAGGAGTAATTCCTGAGCAGAACCCAGTATGGCCCCAAAACAAATCAAAAATGATGTGTATATATTGGAGCCGAAGAGACAGCATGGCAGGTCAGGCACTTGCGTCGCACACAGCAAATCGTGTTTGATCATCAGTAGCCCATATGCTTCCTAAGCCCAAGAGGAGTGAGCCCTGAGCATCAGTGGGTGTGGCCCAAAAACACGCGCGTGTATGTGCTGTGTGTGTGTGTGTGTGTGTGTGTGTGTGTGTAAACGTGTAAGCAGGACTGGTGGAAGCAGATGAGGCTGGCACTTAAGCCCATCAGAGCTCCCCTGAGAGGGCCCTGGAGGAGCAGGCTGTGTGGGCTAGGTGCTTGCTAAGGGGAGAGGGGGACGGGGGGCTCCCTGGGAGTCACGGGCATTCACACTGCCTGTTCCTGTCAGTGCAACGGGATGTCCAATCGCTTCTGGGGCTGGGGCCGTGAGGACGACGAGTTCTACCGGCGCATTAAAAGAGCTGGGCTTAAGGTAGGACCCCACACACACACCCCAACCCACCTTGGGGCTGCCCCTGCAACTCCCCTCCCGGCCTTTTGCGGCCAGTATAGAACCCCTAGGGCAGGACCCACCTTCAAGGCTGTCCTCGGGTGGAAGTCCTGGACTAGCTCTCCAACCCCAGCCACCCTTGCCCTGCCCTGCCCTGCCCTGCCCTGCCCTGCCCTGCCAGAACCGTCAGAGCGCCCCCCAGTGGCGTGGAGCTCCCTGACCTAATGCCACCCACTTTGGCCTCAGCTCTTTCGACCCACCGGGATCACCACCGGCTACCAGACCTTTCGCCACCTGCACGACCCAGCCTGGCGCAAGAGGGACCAAAAACGTACTGCAGCTCAGAAGCAGGTACGGGGGTCTGGGAGGGGGCTGGCAGATTAGCAGCCACGAGTTCAAGCCCCAGCACTGCCAGGAGTGCAGCTCTGAGGGGTCCCCAGATCGCTGCTCCCCTGTCTGGGCCCTGCAGGCGTTCCTAGCTCAGATCGGACAGGCACTGTTGAGTCTGTTTCCCCCTCAGGCCCCTGAGCTAAAAAGCCATTCAGCAGCCCGGTTTGGGGACTCGAGGGAAGCTCCAGGTATCCCCGTTTCCCAGCCTCCTCCCTGTAGCCCCTCATAGGCCCCACCAGAAGCTCTGCTCACCTGGACGGGGCTCAGCGCTTCGCAGCAGAACCCCCCATCTCTGCCTGTCTGGGGTCCCGGAGCATCTGCTGACACCAGGTGTAGGGGACCCTGCCTGACCACACCTCCCACACACTTCTCTCCCAGGAGCAGTTTAAGGTGGACCAGGAGGGCGGCCTGAGCACTGTGAAGTACCGCGTGGACTCGCGCACGGCCCTGACAGTGGCCGGCGCCCCGTGCACGGTCCTCAACATCCTTCTGGACTGTGACAAGGCCTCCACCCCATGGTGCACATTCAGTTGAGGTGTCTGGGCCAGAACCTTCTGGAAGCCTGGGCCCTGGGCCCTCCCACACGTGACAAAGAGGCTGCGGTTGCCATGGAGACCCAAGGGTGTGACTGATGCCATCTGTGGGCAGCCGGCCCCACCGGAGCCCTGCAGGCTGGAGTTGCCCTGGGGCCCTCGGTTCTGAGATGCTGCGCCCTTCTCCCCGATAGAGACAGGAACTTGGCTTCGCCGTGGATCTCAGCCCTGGCACCTGGCCGCCAGCCTCGCCCTCTCTCCCCACGGCCAGGGCCATGGCCAGGCTGGACACTGGCAGACCCGTGCTGGCCCCATGGGTGCAGAACAGCTGACAGCATCAGCCCTGCTGCCCCCGTTTGTTCGAGGGGACCGGGGGCTCCCCTGGCCTTGCCCAATGTTTGGCTTTTCACAGAAACTAGGACGCAGGATTCTTCCTGTGAACTTGGCTCATTTGTCAATGACCTCAAGTAAGTGAAACTGGAAGAAAGAAAAAAGAAAAAAAAATGTGAACTGCTGTTTGTCGCCTGTTTGTGGCTGAGGGGCTGGGCAAAGGACAAGCTGCATGCTCAGGACCACCCCTGCTGGTCCCCTGATCTCAGGTGGCGCCTCTGCCGTCCCAGGCCCCCATTAGCAGTGGGGAGGCGTGCCCTGCCCCGCTGGGATGGACATTAGAGCTCCCAGGCTTGGAGGGCGAGGACAGTGGTTAAGATGCTTGCCTTCATGCAGCTGACACTGGGCAGTGCCCCAAAGTGGATCGGTCCCCTGTACCCCACCCCCTTACATACCTTCCCCAGGCCTAGAGTGGCCGAGGAGAGGGCAGCCCAAACCACAACTCCCCTCCCCCAGCAGATGCAAAAAAACAAAAGGCAACTCTTCCAGAAAAGGGCTGGGGTCTGGAGAGAGAGTATGGGGTTAAGGTATTGACTTTGCAAGCAGCTGACCCTGCTTCAATCCCTGGTACTAAGCCAGGAGTAGCCCCTGAGCACTGACAGCTGTAACACTCCCCCCTTCCAAAAAAAAAAAAAAGGTGCAAGGAGCAGGTAGGTTCGTTCCCTGATGTCCCGTGTGGTCCCCCAGGCTCTCCAGGAGTGATCCCTGAGTGCAGCCAAGAGTAAGCCCTGAGCACTGCTGGGTATGATCCCCAAACACACACATATACATATATAATTTATATATATATGCACGTATATATACACATAATTTAATCTCACTTAGGTGGCAGGGTATCTGCCCTACTCCAGCTCCCTCTAGCTGCCTGTTTCATGGAAGTTTGGGTTGGGGGGGGCAGCGTGAGGAGAAAGCTGAGACTATTCTCAGGGGTCAGGTGAGGTGCCAGGTCTCAGACCCACAAGACTGAGGGACTGAAGTGATAGTACAGTGGGTAGGGTGCTTGCCTTGCACACAGCCGACTGGAGTTTGATCCTCAGCATCCCACATGATCCCAAGTATCTCCAGGAGTAATTTCTGAGTGCAGAACCAGGAGTAACCCCTGAGATTTGTCGGGTGTGACCCCCCCTCCCCCACCATACACACCAAAAATAACTAAAACTGAGATGGAATCATGGGATCCTGAAATCCACACCCCCCCCCCCTTTCATTGTGCCACCTACAGGGTTCTGGTATAGCTAGAGTTGTTTTCCCCCAAAAGAGCTTCAAGACACATTCTTGAGGTAAACAATGAGAACAGCAAGGAGAACACTTTTTTTTTTTTTTTTTTTTTTGCTTTTGGGTCACACCCGGCGATGCTCAGGGGTTACTCCTGGCTTTTCACTCAGGAATCACTCTTGGCGGTGCTCGGGAGACCATATGGGATGCTGGGAATCAAACCCAGGTTGGCCGCATGCAAAGCAAACGCCCTACCCGCTGTGCTATTGCTCCAGCCCCAGCCACACATATTTAAGGGCTCAAAGCCGTGGAGCAAGACAGTGAACACTGAACTCAGCCTAAGTCCCGGCCAGACCAAATCAAGCATGGGGTGGAATGACAGTACAGCAGGGAGTGTGTTTGCCTTGTGTGTGGCCTACCTGGGTTGGAGCCCCAGCATCCCATAGGGTCCCCCGAGCTTGCCAGGTGTAATCCCTGACTGCAAAGCCAGGAGTAAGCCTGAGCTCCAAAAGACAAAAATTCAAATCTCCAGAGCTGGAGCAATTGCACAGCGGGTAGGATGATAGTTTTGCACACAGCTGACCCAGGTTGGATCCTGGCATCCCGTAACCATCCACCAGGAATGATTCCTGAGTGCAGAGCCAGGATATTAACCCCTGAGCATAGCCAGGCTCAAAAATAAAAGCAAACTACAGAAAATAAAAACGACATCAGTTCTGTTCCATCAGCTCCCTATGTTACAGGCAAGCGTTCCAGTCACCTCTCTGCACACGGAGTTCAGAACTGAACGAACGGAGGGGAAACTCACAGCAAAGAATAGTATGTTCAGGGTTCTGGTGGGAGAAATAGAGGAGAGAAGACAGTTCCCGGCATCCCATCTGGTCCCCTGGCACTGCCAGGAGTGATCCCGGAGGGCAGGACCAGGAGTAGGCCTGAGCATCCCCGGGTGTGGCCCCAAATCAAAGCCCCCAAAGCGCTCCCGCCTTAGCAGTCCACAGCCAGGTGCGAGGCCTGGGCACCCGGGCAACACGAAGGGAGGGGCAGGGTGGGTCGTGCGCCCCCAGGCCGGCTTAGCCCGAGCTCCTGGGCTGCAAGAGGGCTCCGGGGCAGTCAGTCCTGGGTCTCGCGTCCCGCTGCGGTCCCACCCCTTTGGCGCAGACCACGGGAGGGGATCGTTCCCGCCTGGCCTGTGGCCGGTCCCTGCAGAAAGACTCCTTGGCCCGTCCCCGCGCGCGGCAGACGCTTCCCCGCCCTGCGGTCAGCTCGTCTCTCTGTCCAGAGTCCGAATCACCCTCGAACCCTGGACGGGTCTCTCGGCAGTCATGTCCCAAGGGGCGCGGTGGAGGGAACGCGGGGACGCGCTGGGGGGGCGGGGAGGGGTACCGCGGGGGCGTGCTTGGGGCGGGAGGCGCCGCGGGGGCGCGCGGGGGCCTTGGGGGCGCGCGCCGCGCAGGTGCCCGCGTCCGGGGGCGCAGGCCGGAGGTCCATCGCTCCAGACGGGCCCCACCCGAGCTGCAGCCGGCCATGAGGGACCGGGAAGGCTTGTCGAGAGAAGGAGCCGAGCCGGGGGCGCGGGATCGGGGGCGGCCGGGCGGGAGGGTCCGGGCTCGGCGTGCATGGGCGGCAGTGACCGTGACCGCCGCGGGCGGGCTCTGCTCCTGCGGGCCCAGGGTCCGGTTCGGCTCTGGGTTCGGCCGGGTCCCACCGGGCGCCTTCCGGACAAGACGCAGTGACAGAGCAGACCCTGCTCCCGGCTCACCCACATCTGCCCCTCCCAGCCCCCTGAAAGAGGGCGGCTGCCGGCACCCGGGCAAAGGAGGACAGGGTGGGCGTGCGAGGAGATGGAGATTTGCTGCCCCCACACGCGTGCGCTGTGACTGTGACCAAGAGACCTTTCCCCAAATTTGAGAGGGGCAAAATTGAGTCCTCTTTCCTGAGGTCCCACTGGTCTCTGGGTCCCCTCCCCAGTGCTCCCAGGCCGGGTATAGTGAGATGTTTGGGGGGAGAGGGGGAACTAGGGTGTTCAAGGGCTTATTCCTGCTGTGCACTCAGGGATCACTACTGTCCGGCTTGGGGGGCCACATGTGCAGGGGGTCGAACCTGGGTCTGCCACCTTCAAGGAAAACACCAGCTGTATACTACAGCTCCCAACACTCTTTGGGACTTTCTATTGGGCTTAGAGATAACCCAGCTGTGCTTGTGGGGAACATTATGGGATTCTGGGGGATCGAACACTAGGTGTGATCCCTGAGCACAGAGCCAGGAGTAATCCCTGACCACCGCCAGTGGTCCCCCGAGCACTACCAGAAGTAATTCTTGAGTGAGTGCAGAACCAGGAGTTACCTCTGAGAAACACTGGGTGTGGCCAAAAAGGAAAAGAAGAAGAATTGGTTGCAGAAATGCGATGATTTAAAAGGCGGCTTCCTCAATCACCCATGACCCCAGAGTTTGGGGAGAAGGAAAGAAACCAAGTGGCAGAGGGGAAAAGAGATGGATGGGAGGCAACCGCGTGGGGGTGCGGAGGCAAGGGATTTAAGTACATCAGCGGCATAAGGAATGATGGAGCTGAAGATCGAACCCACGGAATCAACAACACTGACATCATGAGACCCAAACCTTATCGGACCAAGCCCCTGTAGGGGCTAGAGAGATAGCACAGCGCGTAGGGCGTTTGCCTTGCACGCGGCCGACCCGGGTTCGATTCCCAGCATCCCATATGGTCCCCTGAGCACCGCCAGGAGTAACTCCTGGATCGCCAGGTGTGACCCAAAAAGCAAAAAAAAAAAAAAAAGAGGCCCTGTAGAGAGGCACGAAACTTGCTTTCTCACTGACAACTGGGGCTCAATCCCTCTGGCATTCCAGATGGTCTCCTGAGCACCACTGGTAAACAGGAGTGATTCCCAAGTGCAGAGCCAGCAGTAAACCTGAGCATCTCTGGTGTGACCAAAACAAACAAAAAGGTACCAGTCGAGATGGCAGGCTGGGACGGAGGCAGTGGGGTAGGACCTGGGGACATGGCAAAGAGAAGTTGGCATGGATGCTAGAATTCTGTCTAAAACCCGACCCAACTATGAATAACCCAACCCAACTATGAATAACCCAACCCAACTATGAATAACTTGGTAAACCATGGGGTGTGAGTTCAGAAAAATACAGACGTGTACAACGCGTGCATTGGTGGCCAAGAGCCTCCTCCCAGCAGAGAAACAAAGACAAGGGAACACAGACTGATGGTTCAAGTGACCTTTTTAGTGGGGGGCGGGTTGAGTTTCCCTCCCTTCCCCAAGCAGAACCCCAACAGCCAAAATCCTCCAGAACCCAGTCGCAGCCATGCTCAAGGCCACACTCCACATGCTCCAACGAGCTTCACGCATGAAGGAACCAGCAGAGGAACCCAGGTATGTGGGACCTGGGACTGAGATCTCCAAGCCTGCTCAGATTGGGACTGGGCCTCCTCCACCCAGCTGCCCAGTTTTCCAGTAGCTTGGCAGTCACACCCACAAACTGCCCCCGGCACCATGTCATCTCATCAATAGCCAAGATCCAGAGACTATAAAACCAAACTCCCGGAAGAGAGCGATGCAGTATTTCCTAGAGCGTGTGGCCGCAACCTCCTATACTCTGGCCCACTGACGCACCTAAATTAGCACACATTTGTTTGGTTTTAGCATACTTGCTTGTATTCTCTTATATATGGGCTTAAATGGCCCCAGAATGAAATCAACAACCTTCACACACTTCCCTCTTATTGTGGTGGGAAGATGCTCACTACAGAATGCTATCTGTAATGAACTATTGAGAACTGCTTTATGAAA